ATGCATTACCTAAATCATTGCTAAAAGTTACGATAAATGCGTGATTTAGTCATAATATAATACATTTCAGCAAAGTAGCTATGAAACGGCAGGTTTACATGAAGATGTAATGTATGGTATTGTATCAACTGCTGTGGATTGGGTAATAATCAAACTAGTTTCTAACTCTAAGAATAATAGCGAAGGGAAGGTGGAAGTGTTATTAAGTTCGTTGTCACCCTCTCCATTACCAATCAATAAGGCTATATTGACCCATGATGACTTGGTGGAGCCTATCAAGGACTTGTTCGGGCAAATCAAGTGGGTGTTTGATAATCAGATCGAATCACAGGGTTTATCGAAGCGGGTAAAAACAGAATAACAGGATAGAGTATGTCATGTATCACGGGCAAAGTCCCGAACATTTGTATTTATTTTTAATAAAAAATTTTCTTGGCAAAAGTGATCTGCGTTCAAAATTGGAACTTTTTTGGGTTATAAAAAACCGTGACAAAATGTCACGATCGGGATGGTATTTCATGGAACGTACGTTAGACAGTAAAAGGAAACCATTATTCAAGTTGTCAAATCCCGGAATGAAAAAGGTAAAGTCATTGATACACAAGCGATATGACGATAATCCGATCAAATATATATTAGTTCAACAAGCCTTTTTTTTGCAATTTAGATTCTTGAAAATGTTCCTTTTTCCCATTGCATTTATATTTGCATGTTTTTATATTTATGTAATTGAGCAATCTCGCGGGGGGATAGGCTAATGGGATAATTTGGACCTGAATATTCACGTAATTTTTGATCGTGAAGAAACTTCACGGTTGCACCTATGAAGTGATAATGCGACAATGATATTGGAAAGCAAAAATCAGACGCGATATATAAAAAATATAAATTATTACATACCACTATAATGCGCTGAGAAATGAATCTTTTGATTACAACACAGGGTGGTACTGTATATTATGAAAATGAAGTATTAGGTTAGTTTTTTATCTCTTGCTAACTCCGAGGTTTATACTACAGGTTTGAGCGATGCCAAGCGAAAATTGGGTAATGGGTCGGGATCGGAAATCTGGTGTATGAGAATCTTGTACTTGAAAGCATGTCAGCAAAGGAAATCACTGCTAATATGTTATATTACATAAAATTTTTGCCAAATTCGCATATATCTTTATTTACACTACATTAATTAAAAGAATTAAGCTAAATATAAAGCATTACAATACATTAATTAAAAGAATTAATTAAGCTAAATACAAAGCAAACATTATAAATGACTATAATAAATGGAAATCAAATAATTTCTGCATCATTTGAGGAGGCGAAAACATTTAATGTTAATTTTTTTCTTTTTTTTGTTTCCCACCTTTTTTTGATTTGTTCTTTTTTTCTTCTAATGGTTTTAGTAATTCATCAGTTACCACAATTTTAATTGCAGTTTCTTTACTCTCTTCATACCACTTATCAGCTTCTTCTTTAACTTTTTTCACTGACAACAATTCATGAGTATACTCTTCAATATAGCGAAGATTTTCCTGGTAAAAGAGAAAGTTCATCAGAGCCTCCTTCATATTATGTCCTCCAAGTATCATCGATTCATCTGTACGAGACCAAATGTAGATATCACCATTAGGGTCTTGTAACCAGAAAATTAAATCATAATACGCAAGAACTGGGGAAAAATCAGTAATGTTATAAAATTCAGCAAATCTACGAATTTCATAATCATACAGAATATTTTTATTCGTCTCATCACGAAATGAATATTTATTTTTCAACAAGTTAAGAAGTGAGTGCAAATCTCCTTCGTGTTGTGTTCCATCATCAGCTGACAATTCTTGCATGGAAACTTTATTTGTGTTGTTTCTGTTGAAATTAAGAAGTGTGAACAAATCCTCTTTGTATTGTGATTCATCGTCAGCTGACAATTCCTGCATGGCAATTTTATTCGTTTTGTTTCTGTCGAAATTGTACGCATCCTTATTGGAAGCTCCTGCCTCCACATGGATAACTGAAGCCATGCGTTGGTTTCGGCGCAGTTTCCATAACTCCAGGGTTCCATTTTCATCATTAGATTCCCGTGGAAGCATGCGATGGTTCTCTGAGTCGCGCTCCTGTCTGAGCTTCATTAACTTTTCCTTCATTTTCTTTGGACCTATCAGTGACGCTCCAAACGAAACTTTCTTTACTCTCTGACGGTGTCTCTGACGTATTGATTTTAAAGAAATTGTTAACGCCGTGGGAAGATACACAGGATTGTTTTCTAAGAGATTTATCCAAGTTGAAAATTGATTCAGATGTTTGAATAGATATTTCATCTGTCTCTTGAGAGTCATTTTTTTTCTCGAAATTTGACCGATGTTTATCGAGTAAAAGAGACACAAGGCGTCCACCATTGTGCTTACTGGGATCGTCGCACCGTCTATCTCCACTTCTATCCAACTTGGTTCCCCATTCAGTTGTTGGAGATATCGCCGTTTCTCCCGTCCAAGCTTTCTGGAGTATTGTACAGAAATTTTAATCAGCAGTTATTTGAAAAAAAAAACAATAATATACAGTACTCTAGATACGGCACGGCTTTAGAAAAGTCTTGTACAGAAGACTTGATAAGCCGTTCCTCTTTGATAAAATTTTCATATAACTCCATAACTACAGTAGAAAGTAAATAATTTTTTACTTAGAAATTTTGTAGGTACAAACTCTCAAAGCTTTACCTCATCTACCGTAAACGTCTTTAATAAGATGCCGTGATTGCCATGTGGCTCTTGCATTTGGAATTTTGGAATGAATGCTTGTGCTAAAGTTGTGGGCGAAACCGAAACCTAATTTCTGGCGAAACTTCCGAAACTTGGCGAAACTAGTTTCGTCATTCATGCAAAATTCCGAAACCTTCAAAATTTTCGATACCTGACAAAACTTCCGAAACTTATCGAACTTCTGAAATTACCAAAACTTGACGAAACCTTCTAATGAAACTAAAACTTAACAAATTTTTGAACGAAATCTAGCAAAACTAAACAATGTACTTTAATCAATTAAAGTAAATTGTAATATTTATGCAAAAATTTATTTATAAAATGAAAATTTTAATAGACATCAATTATTTAACCTACGCGTCTATAAAGTTATTACAAATAAGCTTCAACTGCTAAATTAGGATTCCAATCCTCATCAATTTCCTCCCGAACTATTTTACTATTATCTGATTTCTCTTCTAAGTCAATATCCGAATCTCCGATAAATTCATCAAGATCTTTTAAAAATTCTGATGCGTCAAGATCTATAATATTATCTAAATAAATGTTATTCTTATCAATACTTACATTCTCTTCTAATACATCTAATACATCTGTATTATTTGTTTCATCATTTGAATCTTCAAATTCTTCATCTTCATATAAATCAGCATTATTTAAAATAGATCGTAATTCTTCACTTCCTTTTCCAGCACCATAATGTGGTAATTCTTTTTTTGCATTTGCAAGATAAAATGATGCTAATTTTTGCATTCTTTCAATTTTTTCTAAACTAAGTCTAGTTCTATGCTTTCCATAAAACCAACCAAGAGATGACCATATTCTTTCACAAGAAGCTGCATAAGGAGTAATTGAAAGAAGCTTAGTAGCAAGCTGTGCAATATGATTTTGACCTTTTGGCAAAGAATCATCTATACAATACCACTATATCATAGAAGAATTATCAAATTCATATTGTAAATCAAATGGTGGATCCCACTTTTTATATGCAGCTAGTTGTGACATTAATTCTTCACGCTCTTTGTTTGATTTTGCCATTCTTTTATAAAATTTGTCAGCTGCTAAAAGAATCTGATGAAATATGCCTTTTACCATATTTAATCTAAATAAAATACAAAATTATTTAAATTTTATTAAAATAAAAATTATTTGAATTATTTTTTTTAAAAAAAATATTTTTACCATTAATACCCGAATGTAAAAAAAGCATAATAAATATGCATCATCATCAAATTTAATAAATCTTCGATTAAACATTGCAATACAATCTTATCAAAATTCTTGATGATCATTTTTTGGTAACTTTTTAATAGCTGCTTCTAATCGTGTCAATCCTAAATAACAGTTTGTTAAAGTACTTATTTGTAATTCTAAAGTAGTAATACTTTTTTTAAGTAAATATAAAGCAAAAACTAATACATGACAATTATTAAAAAAAGTATAACTTCATAAAATACTTAATGCTGCAGTAGAAAGTATTTCTGCATAATCTGAACGCATCTAAATTATTATAATATTATTAATTTAATAAAAACATTTAATTTTAATAATATATTATTATTAATATTTACAGTTTCTAAAGGAATCTGATGGCGTATTATAAATTCTATACAATCATACATTATATGCCATCTTATATCAACCCATTTTTTAATCCTCCACCTTTAACTTCTAATTCCATAGAAAGATCTTTAAGTGTTTATCCTAATAAATATATATTGTGTGAGAAATATTTATAGTTATTAATTATTATTATATAATTATAAAATATTTACCTAAAAGATGACTTGTTTTAAAATATTTAACCAATACCATACATCGACTTAAAATTTTATTAGCAAATGGTATTTTATATATATCTTTAGATATAAAATTAATTGTATGAGCAATACATCTTATATTTAACATATGTGAAAATTTCTCAGTAATATGATGGCGAGTAAGCTTAATATTAGCACTGGCATCACTTACAATTGCAGAAATTTATTTGCTCCAATTTTATCAATTATTTCTTCAATTTGTTTAGCTAAAAAATCTGTAGTATGATGTTAATGAGATAAATTTTTAAGACTCCAAAGATATTCTCGATAATCTAAAGTATGTATTACAAAATTCTAAATTGATCCTTTTGCAAGATTTGACTACCTATCATATGCTAATTATAATAAAGAAAATTTAATAAATATTATAATTTATAAGAATAGTATATATAAATAATTTATATACAAAATAACTTACATAAAGTTAAATTTTTTAATTTGTTAAATCTTTAATCACTTGTTGATTAACTACAGCTACTTCTTGTATTAATAACCTTCCAGATAAAATTTCTCTACTAGGTGGTAAATATGATGATTTTAATGTTTTTAAAAATTCAATAAAGAAAGGATTCTCTATAATATGCTATAAAATTCCACAAATAACAAATGCTTTAACTAAAGTATGATTTATTTGATCCTCTGTACTTTCAAATTCAGTAATTTTTTTTTGTTTAGTCCTATTATCTCTTTTTCTTTTTTTATATATAATTGTTTCAGTTGAATCTTGACCAATGGTTTTAGCCGCTAATTATTATAAAAAAATATCTCTAACTGAAGATTCAGCTTTCTAACACTCAAAAGCTAAATATACTTTAATTTCTTGAGGTGAATCTTTAGGCCAAACAATATAATATAAAAGATATTCTACAGATCAGCATAAAAGACTGATCTCATTAAGTTTCTTTATATATGTCTCAGCTAAACTAATCTGACTTACCTTCTTTATTTTTTATTTTAGATAGTGTTTTATTATCTGGTATATCTATAGGTATGATATCTTATTCTTTGTAAGGGGTTTCAACTGATGTTTCTTTAGTAGAAGACATTTTAAAAAAGTAAATTACAAAAATTTTTATTTCTCTTTTTTTTAAAAAAGGAAAAAACATGAAAAAGGTTTTCTTTTATCATATTTCTTTTTTACGTGCTTCATTTTCTTACATTTTTTACTATATCTCTCAATTGCACACAATAATGAGCGTTAAGTTTAAAATAATTATGGTTAAAATAACTTTAATATTCAAAAAAAAATTAAATCAGCATTATTTTGATTAGCTAACTAGGTTATATCACATATCACTAAGTTCTGTCAAAGGCTCTTCAGTACTCTTAAACTTCTATGCTAATATGTTTATTAATTCAAATTACAGCTGCTGTTATTCATTGTATAGAGCCTAAATTATACTATTGCAAGAACTAAAAATCCTGCTAAAATTAATAAGCTCTATAATATTAAAGATCTAAAAAGAATGTATTTGTTTAGAAAGATAATGGAAAAATTATTATATGTGATTGGTTGATTCTAAGTTATTATTAATCTTGATCGTCATTTAGGATACCTTCTGATACTCACTTTTGTGAGCAAAAAGAAAAAGGAGAAAAATAAAAAAAATAGCTATAAAAAATGGTAAAAAAATATTTTAACAAAAAAACATTACTGTTTAGACTAACAAAAACTGTTTTTTGAAATAAAAGGATTTAGAGAGAACAAAGAGAAAAAGAAGTTTAAAAAAGAAGTTTTATTTTTTGTTTACAAGTTAAGTTATGATCATCCTTAAAAATACATATTTTTTATGTAAAAATTCTTGGTCAAGTGATTATTAAAAAGAGTTATAAATTATTAAATAATAAATTATTTTTAAAAATTAAAAAATTAAAAAATTAATATATATTGATAATTATGAATTTTAAAAGTTTAAAAATATTACCATTAGATACATCATAATATGATAAATCTAAAATTTTATTTTATTTTTTTATAATTATTAAATATTAAATTATTTTAAATTTTTTTAAAATGTTTTAGAAATAATTTTATATTTACAGTTTAAGAAATAATATTATATTTATTTATGTAAATTGATGAAATTGTATGTAGAGTTCTGAATGAGTTGAGTCAAGTTGTGTTTAAAGATCAACTCTATTTGACTCTTTTTTTTGAGTTGAGACAAGTCAAATTTATTTTATAAAATCTTTCAATTTGATTTGATTCGAGTTATATAAATTTTAAACTCGACTCAATTTAACTTGACTCGATTTTAACTCAATTCGATTTTAACTTGAATTTATTCAAATTGAGTCAAGTTCAAATCAAGTTATGAGTCAATTTTAAAATTTTTATAAACATTTAAATATAAAAAAAAAAATTTTCAAAAATATTTCCAAAGTATATTTACATTAAAGGGCTACTTCTAAATTAATAAAAAAATAAATAAAAAAATAAAAAATAAAAATAAAAAAAAATTTAAAATTAAAGAATGAAATCAAAAAAAAAATTAAAAAAAATAATAAAAAAAAACAATGAAAAGATCAGGAAGGGGAAGCGAATAATTCATCATCATTCTTCTTGAACAATTTTTTTTATCATTCAAGTCGAACAATTCAGGTCATCATTCTTCTTGAATGATTTTTTTATTGTTCAAGTCAAATAATTTGTCATCATTCTTCTTGAATGATTTTTTTATCGTTCAAGTCAAATGATTCGTCATCATTTTTCTTAAATAATTTTTTTTATCATTCAAATCGAATGATTCGTCATCATTCTTCTTGAACAATTTTTTTATCATTCAAGTCAAATGATTCGTCATCATTTTTCTTAAATGATTTTTTTTATCATTCAAGTCGAATGATTCGTCATCATTCTTCTTGAATGATTTTTTTTATCATTCAAGTCAAACGATTTGTCATCATTCTTCTTAAATGATTTTTTTATCATTTAAGTTAAATGATTCATCATCGTTCTTCTTGAATGATTTTTTATCGTTCAAGTCAAACGATTCAGGTTATCATTCTTTTTGAATGATTTTTTTTATTATTCAAGTCGAACGATTCAGATTATCGTTCTTTTTGAATGATTTTTTTTATCGCTTAAGTTGAACAATTTGAGTCATCATTCTTCTTGAACGATTTTTTTTATCATTTAAGTTAAACAATTTAGGTCATCGTTCTTCTTGAATGATTTTTTTATCATTCAAGTCAAATGATTTGGGTTATCATTCTTCTTGAATGATTTTTTTATCGTTTAAGTCGAACGATTTGGGTCATCGTTCCTCTTGAACAATTTTTTTTATCATTCAAGTTGAACTATTTTTTTATCGTTTAAGTCGAACGATTCGTCATTATTTTTTTTGAACAATTTGGTTTTTTTATCGTTCAAGTTGAACGATTTCTTATCATTCTTCTTGAACGATTTTTTTATTGTTCAAGTTAAATGATTTCTCATCATTCTTTTTGAACGATTTTTTTTATCGTTCAAGTTTAACGATTTCTCATCATTCTTCTTGAATAATTTTTTTATCATTCAAGTCTAACAATTTCTTATCATTTTTCTTGAACGATTTTTTATCGTTTAAGTCGAATGATTTCTTATCGTTCTTCTTGAACAATTATTTTTCTATAGGATCGCAGTCCTAGAACTGTAGTTTTAGGATCTAGTCCTAGAATTCAGTTCTAAGACTCAAGTCCTATGGACTTGGAATTTCAGGACCAGACTAGGATCAGACTGGATTTTAACATCCTTAAAAATAATACTATTTCAAGTCAACTTAAGTAAATTCGAGTCAACTTGAATCAAGTCAAGTTTAAATCGAGTCAAGTTAAATATTTAACTCGACATGAATTTGGCTTGATTCGCAAATCATTGAGTCAAAAAAACATAAACTCAACTTAATTTAAACTTGACTCAGCTTATCTGACTTGTAAGTTAACTCAACTCGTTCAGAACTCTAATTATATGTAATTATATATTTTAATTTTAATTTTTTATTTATTTATTTATTTAAATATAAATTATTATATTATTTATTTGTAGTATAAAAATCATTGTAATTATAAAACTTGATCACTATATTCTAATTTTGAAACTGGTAAATTTATCAAAAATTTTAATAAGATCATTTTTACCAATAAATAATAATATATTTGATAATAATAATACAAATTATTATTAACAACAATATATATTATCACTAAACTCATATTTTATTATTCTGAATAACCATTATATTCACTATTATATTCATTATCACATTTATCTTTGTATTTATTATCACAAATATTATTATATTTACTATTATCATCATATAAATAATTTGCTTTAACCTTAAATATAATATCACTAATTTCACAATCTACATCTTTATTATCTTATAATAATTTAGAAATATTTATAAAGATTTTTTAGAACTTTTTGACAAAAATTTGAAGAAGTAAAATATATAATTTATTTACAAAAATTTGAAGAGAAGGAAATTATAATAATATAATTTGCAGAAATGAATTCTAAAATTTTATAAATGAATTTAGAATAGAAATAATTAGTTATAAATTAAACTTAATTAAAGAAACAAAATTTTTTTATTTTTTTTATATAAAAAACAATTTTTATTATTGATTTATATTATAATATTTTTATTATATTACATGTTTTATTATGTTATAATTTTTATTTTATCATATATGTAATATAATATTTTCCAAATTGTCAATAATAAATAATAATTTTATATCATAAATATTTACTATTTTATTTAAGATTTTAAAATAAACTATAAAATAAATTCTATATTATACTAAAATCTAAGTTTAATATATATAAATTGATTTATTAAAATAATCTTTTACTATATTAGATGTTACCTGAAATAATATTAATAAAAGTGGATATTTTAGATCACTACAATTTTTATAAATATTTTATTTTTCTTTAATCATGATTTAACTTTAGAAAATGCTATTTCAATTGGATTATAATTTGAAAAATACAGAAATAAATAAAGTACTTTACATTTTATTTATTTAATTGATTTTATTAGTTTTTCATTATAATAGATTTTTATATTATTTCTAATAATTACACTATTTTATTTAAATATTTATTCATTTGTAATAACTAAAAAATAATAAATACAATTATTTACTTAATAAACAAATGAAAAAAAAGTAATAAATAAAAAATATATATAACTTACATAAGAATAAATATTTAAAATCATTTTTTATTACAATTTTCCTTTATAATATTAGCAGCTATAAATTAATCTAACGTTAATACTAATAGAATAATATATCTTTTTTCTTTTATAAAAAACATATATTTTTAACTCTTATATTTTTAAATCATATTCATAAGCCTCTTATCTTTTGATATTTCATCAATAAAAATAGTATTTTGATCTAAATTTACTTTCTATTTATATATAAAAATACTTCATAAAAGTTTATTTCTCTCTTTTGCAAATTTTATAACTAAATAAAAAAATTTAATTATAATTGATAACTAAAATAATTAAATAATTCAAAATCTACCTTTTTTTTATTATTTTGAGATGTTTAAATATTTTTATAGATTTAGTATAGATATAAGCTTGCTAGTTAATCTTTTTATTTAGAAGTCAATTTATCAAAATACCAATCTTTTTTATTTTTTACAAGTATAAATAATATCTATAATATTAAATTTAGTAAGTGATAATTTTAAAATAATTAATAATAAAATAAATTAATACATTTAAGTCATTAGGATTAAAAATTCTTTTTTTTCCTTAATAACTTTTGAATAGTTGATTTATACAATCCTAGTGACCATAAAATTTTCTAATTTAATATATGATAAAAATACTAATATAAAGCATAAGAGTAGTTTTTTTTGCTAAAAATCCATCAAGTTGATAATAAATAATATGTTATTTTATATTATTACTTAAAGGTTTTCCTATATTTAAACTAAAAAAATAAAATTATTTTATTATAAAAAAAATATTTTTATAAAAATATTCATATATAATAACTTATAAATAATTAATAAACATATTTCTAAAAAAAACAAATGATTTCTTGTCTTGCAATAATAAATTCGTAAAGAAATTGCTAAGAATTATTAGAATTTGTATAAACTTTTATAAATTTTATAAGTTTTACAAGAAAAAAGTTTGTATATACTATTAAACTTATGCTAAATATCTTATATAGCAGTATATTCTTATAAGTAAATAAAATTATAACTTAGTTTAGTAAAATTTAAATGATATTTTAAGAAAAAATTGTGTAATTTTATAGTGATTACTATATAACTTTGATTATATAGATTTATGAAACTGCAATAATTTGAACTTTAATCTTTTTTAATATTATTAATTATTAGTTAAAAGTTAATTAACAAAGTAAAAATAATGTATACAGATTAAAATAGACTAAGTCTGATATATTAGACATTATATTTTTCATTATTGAAATATTGAAAAAGTAATGCTTTTATTATGAGAATTTTAAGATGAATAATTTCTTTATGAAATAATAGATCAATTGGAAGATAAATGATATCAAGCATTTTATAATTAAGATTTGAAATTAAATTTATTTTTTTTTCTCTATATTTAATTAGTTTCTATTTGTACGTTATTACCTATTCTTTTTTATGTTCATAAAACAATCCCTTATTAAGACTGTCATAGTTATAAAATAAATATAATTAAATACATGTTTTATAATATTTTTAAGAATGTTAATTTTATCAGTAAAAGTTTAAAAGATTAAATCTTTATCATTTTGAAGTATGAAAGTAGACCATTTAAAATTATTTCTTATTTACCGTATATTGCAGGCCATAGCACCCGGGTCCTTTGCAAATTTTAGAGGTTTTTGGCCGTATCTGGAGGTACATTACACCGGTGGATACTATACATAGGGGGGTACAGAAATTGTAAAATACCCCAGATACTTACCGTGTATAATACCCTCTTGTCACTAACATGATTTGTTGATTATCCGTAACACATTTTATCATAATTATAAATTTCCGTATTGGAAAAGTCACATTTTTCCCATGATATGCTTCGTCTTATTCTCATAGATAGCTTG